TACATTCTTATATTTAAGATCGTGTCTTAAATACATATTTAAAAACATTTTAACTAATAAAATGATTCGTACGGATGTTATACATATCATATTATGGTTAAAAATATTTGAGAATTTATTTGAGAATTATTTAAGACAATTTTTAAATATAATAACATACTATGAACAAGCCTTAGTGCGCACTCAGTGCACACTAGTGCAAGCAACCGAATTCGCTATCAAAGACACTCCTCGGTCAGGGTGGCCTATCGAGGTTGATGACGACAAAATAAAGGCATTGATCAAGTCAAACCCACGTTACACTACATGAGAGATTGCAGAAACATTGAACATCCATCATTCAAGCGTTCACGACTACCTGAAGAAGTTGGGATACGTAAGCAAGCTCGATATTTGGATTCCTCATGAACTCAAAGAAGTTTATTTGACGACGCGTATAAACATCTGCGATATGCTCATTAAACGTGAGGAAAACGATCCTTTTTTTGAAGCGACTGATAACTGATGATGAGAAATGGATCGTTTATAACAATGTGGTACGCAAACGGTCTTGGTCCCGACATGATGATTTGCCTCAAACGACATCGAAAGCAAACATTTATCAGAAGAAGGTTATGCTCTCAGTGTGGTGGGATTTTAAAGGTGTCGTGTTTTTTGAATTCCTACCAAAGAAGCAAACAATCAATTCGAATGTGTACTGTCGGCAATTGGACAGTTTGAACGAATCCATCATCCAGAAACGTCCAAAGCTCGTTAATCATAAAAGAGTTGTGTTCCATCACGATAACGCGAGACTACATACAAGTTTGATTACTCGTCAAAAATTATTGGAGCTTGGATGGGATGTGTTGCCACACCCACCATACTCGCCTGACCTTGCGCCGTCCGACTTCCACTTGTTTCACTCTCTTCAAAACTCCTTGTGTGGTATAACGTTCAATTCGGATGAGGCAAATGCTGTAAATCAGCATTTTGTTCAATTTTTCGCCGATAAAGACAGATCCTTCTATGAACGGGGAATTATGAAACTCACTGAAAGATGGCAAAAGGTTATCGAACAAAACGGGCAATATATCATTAATTGATCTTTGTTTTTTATATGAATAAATGATCTTTGAAAAACATAGAAAAAATACGTCATGACTTTTCCGACAACTCAATAATTTAAAGATCTGAGGATCGATTGTGTATCTCAAATCGGAGTGAAAATGATAAAAGTGAGCAAATTTTCTAGCATATTTATAACTTCATTGATTCTTGAAAATATATCACATACGACATTTAGTGAAAAGCTAGTTCATGTTACGTATATTATAGCTTTTCACTAAATGTCATATGCGATATATTTTCGAGAATCAGGGCCCAGGGGTTTTATTCTCGAAAATTATCGCATACGATATTTCTATGAAAAGCTATAATTCACGTTACGTATATTATAGCTTTTCATAGAAATATCATATGCGATATTTTTTGAGAATAAGGATGCGTTCCCATTTAACGAGTCACGCGTCATCCTTCGCGGACTAATCAAATCGTCCCATTTTATTCGTTGTAAAGTTAGGCATTAAAATAGGACGATTTGATTGGTCCGCGACAGACAACGCGACACGTAACGCGCTAAGTGGGAACTTAGCCTAAGGCTGCCTGCGTCACGAGTTAACCAATCAAATCGTTCCATTGGAACAAGTACGTCGCGCGCGCGTCATCCCAATTAGAGGATTTGATCAGTGCTGAGAGTTCGCGATATTTTCTAGATGACAGGAGTCCTTCTGCGCATGCGTAAAATGACATAGCAACTCGACGTAAGCAGTTTCTAATGACGGTGTTAGGCACGAGTAGAGGGTTTTTAGAGAACATGCACAAAATACTCGGCCGTCTGTCTGTGTTGTTTGCCCGCGAGTGGTTAGGTTAGATAGGTAATGAAATGATATAATAATAAATTAGTATAATTAATATAGTTATAATAATTAGTATAGCTATGTAAAATGTGATATTATAATATGTATATATAGTATATATTAATAAATAAAATGTGATAAAAAAGTGCAATTTTAATATAAAGTGATATTATGATAAAGAAAAGTGCAATTATAATATTAAGTTAATTAAAGAAAAAAGTGCCGTATTAACGAAAAAAAAGGATCAACACCAGCCTTTGTCATCAAGTGGCATCGAGGCAAAGAAGAGAAAATGTGCGAGAAGAAAATTCCAATATGCATGGTTAAATATGAATATTTTCAAAGATTGATTGGCTGCAAAAATTACAAAATAAAAAATATTTATTTTTACTTATGAACAGCATTCTGTTTCTTCCCACAAACTTTCTTTTCTCTCTACAATCCCTTCATATTTTATTTTAGGTGAGAGATCTTACGATACCTTAAAATAGATACGGCGCTGAGGTTACCACAGAGTTTGCTCAATGCGCGTGCGCGAAAATATATCGCGAACTCCCAGCACTGGATTTGATTGGTTAACTCTTGACGCAGCAGACGACGCGACGTGTGACGCGCTCAATGGGAACTCAGCCTAAGGACCCAGAACACAGTCTTGAGGGTCTCTAATAGCGTGTTCGACTGGCTCTGAGTTAATCACTCCGAGAGTGATTAATGACGTCATAAGTCTCTACTAGCCAATCATAAAGTTTATAAGTACTTATTCGACCAATAAACGTAGGCTGAATAACCCAAAGCCAGTCGAACATGCTATATTTTTCATGCTGTTAGATGTGCCATCTGTACTCAATTTTTAAGTGGAACTACATTCCCTACGCTTATGTTTAGACGTTGCCAGTAAAGTGTCGATTTGTTGCGTGTTCATTCTATGCCCATTTTCTGGCGATTCGTGTCCGTGCTAAGCATAATTGCGTGACTAAAAACATGAGGCATTTTTTCGTTTTGTGACCACGGTAGCGCTTGGTTGGTTAGTTTGGTCCATTTAACGCTCGCAACGCTGCGAACGTCATTCTATCTTTGTTACTCGAAGCATTGGAAGTGTTAAGTGGACCAAACTAACCAACCAAACGCTACCGTGGTCACGAAACGAAAAAACGTCTATGGACTGTCCATGTTCCTAACCATGCAATTATGCGCTTAGCACGGACATGAATCGTCAGAAAATGGACGTAGAATGGACACGCAACAAATCAACACTTTATCGGCAGCGTCTGAAAATGAGTGTAGGGAACATAGTTCTACCTCAAAAATGGGTGCAGATGACGCATCGAACAGCGTGAAAATCGGTGTGGCCGCTCTCAGATTTCTCTCTGATAAAATATAAACAATAAAATGTAAATGTAAATAATATCCAGAATAAAAGTATAAAATTCATATAATATATAATAATTAATTACCAATGATTATGTAAATGTGGATATTATGTATTAATGATAATTGTATGATTTTCTAAGTTCTTTATTTTATTTAACTTATTTCTTTGATGGTATGTCATTTATCATAGTAAAGAATAATATAATAATTTTAGTAACACATTTTAATAACATATTTATATAAAAATATGTAAAATGTTTATTAATATTGAAGCAGTATAATGAGAAATTTCATTAAAACATCAGTGTATTTCTTAATTATCTTAAGTGAAAACTGTATCCCAGGTAGCAAGGTGACGTCTAGAGATGTCACCTTGCTACCTGTGTATATTACATATGCCATCATATATTTAAAAATAAAAAGAAAACCATTAGTATTGTGAAGTAATTGGAGAACCAGCTGTGATATGATTTGACTGATGTACTCTAGGAGATAAAGGACTTTGAAAAGAAGTTTCTACTAAAGAAATTTATATTTATATGTATAAAATTAGTTCATAAATGCATACAGAAGACAATGTATTTTGGATCAGATGTGTATATATTTCAATAGAAAAGTAGAAATTCTTAAATTAATGAATTCTTAAATTAATGAATTCTTAATTAATGAAATCTTAATGACGCTTACACATGTATATATATTTACAAACTTATGGTAGGAGTTACAATTATATTTGTTATTATTATTTAATAAATGCAATTTTGTTACTTTTATAGTTACAATTATAAAGATTAATGTCTTTACTAAATAGTTACAACCAAAAATAACTTTTAACCTTAACAGCATTATGTAATGCTTACTTCTCAACCTTAATATATTAAATAATCTGTGAATAAGTGATGATAATATAAAAATACATAAATGTGAATTTTTCGGCAGGAAAAAATATCTGTAGAATATATTTTTACTGTTTCCATAAAGGGCAGGGCTTTATTTTTGAGAAATTATTTGTGTGAGGACATGATAAAAGTGGCTTCAAAACTGAACATATATTGCAGCTTGGGATAGTATTAAATATATTATATATTTATTATGAAAAGGAATATAAGTAAGTTTATACAATTAGAAAATATACTATACAATGGGACTACTAAAAAATATTTTGCTATTTCAAGCTGCAGAATAGATCAAGTTCTTATATATGTATGAGTGATATAGTGCAACTACCATACAGAAAAAAGACATGGTTCTTATGAATTGAATTATGTTTTTGGTCTGAGTAATTCTGACTAATCTTAAATAATGTTTAAAATGTTTACTTCATGAAATTATTAACTAAATGATATAGCATATACTTATATTGTCCTAGTATAATAAAACAATATAGATACAGAGTTAGTAAATAATTTTGTATTGTTCTAACTGATATCGTATCTGATATCCTTCGATATAGGTGAAACATTATTTATAGATAAAACTGATATGAAAAACGAAGGAAACAAAATGCTTTATTAAAATATGATACAGAGTAAATGACAGAGAGAGATAATATGACAGAGAGTAAATATACAGGTTTGCTGTGGAACTCTGGATTGATGACGTCACAAACGAGGAAACGCGAAGTGTTCTTTTGTATAAATATATTTTTATTTGAAAACAGCATGCAAGAATTTTTGGCATACGCTTTCTCACGTTTGCGACATCATCAATCCAGAGTCCCGCGGTATCAGGAGTCTTAAAGAAATTTAATTTTACCGAATTATATACATTCTAATATCTTTTTTGTGTGATACGACTACATTCAAAACGAATAAGGTGTGTACGACTACATTCAAAACGAATAAGGTGTGATACGACTACATTCAAAACGAATAAGGTGTGTAATTTACGGAGCGATTGTCTGCTACCTGTCGCATACACGCAACACATACGATCATGGGCGTGTACAAGTAGTTTCCTTGTACGTATAGTATTTCTTATCACGATGATAATTTCGAACAACTTCTTATCTGAAGCTTTTACTTTTTCCACTCGCGTCAGTGTCCGAGTGCGAGTTTGTTAGATACGTACTGTCATATTGCGTGCCCATTTCTTCTCTTGCCAAAAATCCTGACATTGCGTGCGAAAATCGTCCCTGCGATGTGAATTATGTGTGAGCAATTGAGATTAATATGGAGACTATATCCTGATCATACGGATCGCGTGTTGCGCTTTAGCTTCGTCGATTTTTCATATTTGTTAAAGAGTACATAGCTACGATCTTATTTTGAATTCACGAGCCTCGTGTACATATGCAAATGGAAGATACGATGTAACTGTTCCGTGAAGTTGTTACACCGTTACAATTGTGTCTTGTGCTCGTATAACGAGCTTTGAAGTCACGCGAGTATAGATTTGGTAATTAAATTATTGCATAATGTATTATGACGCGCAGAAGAAATGTGTTATTCCGCTCAAAGGATCAGAACGGTAAAAGTAATCAAATCCGTATATCTTTCACGTGACAGACGCATTGATCACAGGGAAACGTAACTTCTCGAGGGCTACAATATGTTAAGAAATTGTAGTAAATTTAATAATACATGGAGAGAATATTATAGTTTTTTTTCATATAAACTTTTTTCAATATATTTTATCATGTCTTTAGTAGATTAAGAGTAGATTATCAATAAAGTCTATTTTGCTAAGGAACATAGTAAATGAAACATAGCAAGTATTTTAAGGCTTCTGTTCCTTAACTCTTAATTAATGACGTCAGAAACGAGAAAACTCATGTCCAAAATTTTTATGAAATAAAAGAAAATGCTGAGATAAAAGAGTATGCCCATATAAAGTGACCTTTGGGACCAATTGAACATATTTTTAAGATATTCGTAAACTTTTCTTTTGTTCTAACAATCAATAAATGATCGTAAAATTAATGTGTGTGACATCTCTTCTTAACCTATCCGTCCTCATAATTTTTTCACGTTAATTTTATGGTTATTCATTGTTTGCCAAAATAAAAGTTTCTGAAATATTTGAATAAATGTGTTCAATCGATCACAAGTGTTTTTACTAACATAACCTTTTATTTCGACATGTTCCGCAAGAATTTTTAACATAAGTTTTCTCGCTTTTGACATCGTTAAGAGTATGTTTTAATTTCTAAAATATAAGTAGCATATACGAAATGAAGAATAGAGTGAGTTATTGCAGATCGTTCGATACATGATTCTTGTGGTGAAAAGCCATTATACATTATTTTCTATAACACAGTTTGTTTTCACACAGTCATGAAATGTAAAAATAAAAAAGAAATAAACTAATGTACAGAGTCGATGAGTCGGAAACCGGTAGCTTCGCAACAGTACAGAAAAAACAAAAAATGCCAGGCACTTTGACGTATCCCATCTATGCTGGCGTAGATCCACCTCTTCCTAGAAGACGCGCTTACACCTGGAATACACAGCATTGCTCCGCCTCACGTGTAGCAGAGGTTAATGCACAAATTGGTCGACAGTCCTTGCCGGAGCCTGCGGTAAGATATTTGCACATTACAACTACATTAGTCGTTCGTAAGTCTGTTGCGTTGTTTGCACTTTTGACACTTTTACATCCGAGATATATTCGTTGCACATTCTCTCATAGGCTATCTCTTTAGAGAGAAAAGCTCTCATTGGATATCGCTCATTCGTACTTGGTGTGCAACGGGTATTAGGGCCTTTGCACGTAGAAAAATTTTAACCATAAGGTCGTAAGAAAACTGACCAATCAGAGTTAATTGTTCTCCTTGCATTCGAGGAATAATCGACTGTGATTGGTCAGTTTTCTTACGACCTTACGGTTACGATTAAAATTTTTCTACGTGCAAAGGCCTTTAGGTACAAAAGTACCAAAAGTGCAAGTAACGCGAACAAATCTCGTACTTCAAAAAATGCAACGTACTTCATAATAAACTTTAAACGTATTTACACAAAGTACATTATTAACTTGCAAGAGCAGATAGATTACATAGATTATAATGAGATAAAATATATTCCCGATTCTCTCGTTCTCTGCAAGATCTTTATCTGCAAGTTTTCAGTGTCGCGATTTTCACGCGAATTATGACGTGACACGTGAGAACTATTGTGTGTACGTGAGAGCACACGGTAGGTTTCCTAATCCTTAAATAATAATTGATAAGCTAAACTCGGTACTGTCGCATAGAGGCATAAGAGAAAAAGAGAGAAAGAGAAAGTGTTAACTTAATTGACAGTCATATGTTCACTATATAATAATTATAAATTTCAGTATCATATGTTATATAACGTGAAAGTTACTGCAGTATTGTAATTATATTATAAAATTTTGCTTTTTCTAAAAAATACGTAGTGATATATGCGTATTAAATATATGACTTCATAATTATAAAATATAACCTAATTTATAATAATAAAATATAATCTAATTTGTTAATAATTGAGTAAGATAATATACATATAATTAATATATATGTGAGCTATATTGTCTGTAATGATGTTATATTGTATGTTTTTATTTTTTAATTTTCAATAAAATATGTTTTTATTTTCTAAATTATATATATATATATATATATATATATATATATATATATATATATATATATATAGTAGCAACTAAATATGTCGACTGGAAAATAAATAGAAATATTCCTCACGATTATTACAATTTTCATTGTGTCACGATATCAACTCGCAAAACATGTTTATGTGCAAATTACACATGGTATTATAAGAAATTAATATCGAATTACAATAAAAATAAATTAGAGTGATTTAATAAGAGCGTTCGAAGAAATTTTAGTTTTGGGAAACTTTTGCATTTTTAATTTCTCTTAAAGAAACTTTTGTTTTCCCTCGACATTTAACGTTATCCACGAATAAAGAGTGTATGAATATCGGCGGAGAAAAATTACAGCGTTGATAGTTGCGAGCAAATTAATTTCTATCTTGAAAACCTTTGAAAATCTGTTTAATTCGCGATACGCGCGAAAGCGGTCACTCGGCGCTTTTTGAATATTTAAAAGGAAGTAGGCCATCTTTGAATCGTCGCGCTATGTCACATCCGTCTCGGTCGCGCAATAGTGCTGGAGAGGGGTTAAGACAAAATAGGTTTCTTGATGGCATATAAGAAACTGTGAGAGCCCTGTTAAATTGCAAGAAGGAGCGGTCGGCGATTAGATTACCAATCGAGCATACGTAACGTTAATGGCAGAGGAACATGTTTACGGTTACAATCCGACGGTCGGAACCGACGGCGATTCCGTACGTAGTAGCTTTGACAGTTTGACAAGTACAGGTTGGGTTCGCGACCGATAAAAGGCGCACCAACCGACGAAACGAGTGTTACTTTCGGGCAGCTATTTATTTCGGACGTGGTTCCTCGCGACACGCAGGCTCGTTGTCATGTTTCCGGATGCGACATGCCCACCGAACACGGTGACAACGAGTCATCCGCGACACATCAGAGAAGACATAGTCGTCGATGACAATTTTGTGCTGCACTCGTGCTTGTCGAGGAGCAGTGTTTTATCTACGTCGTTAACACCTATCTTTCTCGAGTACCTTTGTCCTTCATCATTTCTTCGTTTCGATACCCATTTATTGCAATAACGAATGCTGCAACACTACCTGGAACCATATCTTGTGCAATATAGTGCAATATTCTAGGAGGACTCGCCCACAATTATAACATTATCTCTGTTTTCTTGTTCAGATATCACTTGTCTTGACTTTGTGCGAACGAATGTCCGGTTCTTATTATATATTTTACTTATACATAGACCATCTTTTCATTGTTATGTTTGACAATAACAGAACACAGGTGTGATATGTGACAATTTCATATGATGATTGCATGATTTAGAGAGACGAGGCAACGAGCAAGTTGAGACTGAAAGTCATCGCTGGGCACCAACTGGCTAAGAAAGATATTTTTGGTGCAAGTGATCCCTATGTCAGGGTTGACTTGAATACAATAAATGGAGATCAAACGGTGGATTCTGCACTTACAAGAACTAAGAAGAAGACATTAAATCCAGTCTGGGAGGAAGAATTTGTATTTAGGGTATGCTTTATATTGTTTTTTTGTATACTGCTTTTGATTTATGTATGTAGAATGTTATGAGCATAAATTATCTTTTTGCAGGTGAAACCGGTGGAACATAAGTTGGTCTTACAAGTATTTGATGAAAATAGATTGACAAGGGATGATTTTCTTGGTATGGTGGAATTAACATTGATTAATTTACCAAAAGAACAAGAAGGTCGTGTTATTCCTGCTAGGTGTTATGTACTTCGTCCACGTAGGTATGTATCTTTGCCAACTTTGCTTCAAGCTACATATTCTGGAACACTTAGGTTTAATGTGTTATACATCTTGATCTAATTTATATTATTTGTATCTAGTTGCAGTTAACACATAAGTTTGTAATATGATTTCATTTTTAATCAATTAACCATGATGAGTCATTTGTAATCTATAGCTATTGAATACCTTTATTAATTATTTATGATCAATTTTTATTTTTAATAATGCGTTAGTTTTAATGAAGATGTAATTGAAAGTGTGTAGTTGCATACTAAATCATTTTATTGAGATTTGTTTGAATATTATCTTTGCTTTGTATCATTTTATTTGCAAATGCAAAATGAATAACTTATGAGGATATGGCTAGTAATCATTCCAGTCAGCGGTCGCGAGTTAAGGGAACGTTGGAAGTATATCATGCATATATTTCCGACTCATCCACTATTGAAAATGAAGACAGAGAATTAGTATCTGATTCGGATGGATGGGAATTGGTACAGGCGGCAAATAACAGTCCGGAGGAGCAAGCTGCAGATGTACGTACAAACAAAAGATTTGTTAATACTAAATCAGTATTGTCTTTTTACGTGCTAATAAAACGATAATACAATCTTTTTTTACATATATTATTAGGAACATATACGAATATATGAATATTTGAATTATTTGATTATACTTGTATAGATTATGATGGTCAACGGGCCACTGCCACCAGGATGGGAAGAAAGGCAAGACGCAAATGGTCGTACATATTATGTAAATCATATAGCGCGTTTTACACAATGGGAACGACCAACAGAAGCGTACGTAACAATATCTGTTTAATCTCAATTGATAGTACCTTAAAAATATTGTATGTATAAAATGTTACGTTCTTATAACAGGGATGCAACGACACAGGGTGAAAATGTCGAGCAACGTAATCTGGATACCGCAGTCACTGAGTTTCAACGACGTTTCCACATTAGTGCTGATGACGAAGGCAGACATAGAAGTTCAGTGATAACTCAGGTAAGTCGGACAATATTATTCTTCTTCCCGTTAACAATTTCAAGCATTTATTTCGCCATAAGCCCTACAGCATACACTCATATCTGAAATGAAGAATTAGATAACGAAATATTTTATCCCTTCAAAGACACAAATATGTAGGTATAAGAATATTGACTTATGGAATTTGAAGTCAGCTTTGATGATCATGCTTTAAATATGATAGTTAAGGCATTTATACTATTGCTCCATTATAGTTACTAACATTATATGTTACATCTATCTATGTCTTAGAACATTTTTAACTCTTCATAAGATTTTCCCGTTTGTTAACCTCATTTATACAATCTTTAGATTAGTTGCAAATTAGAATAAATGCATAAAAGTATGCCTTTGTTCCTGAATATGTTCCTAAATAGTTACATTTTCTCGCGCTTTTTTAATCAATTATGTAGGATAATAATATTCTCTGCTTTCAAATCTCCATGCTGGAAGGCACATACTTTACTATCTTTATTATATTTATATCCTTATGTAAGATTCATTTGTTCATACGCACACACGCACAAAACATTTCAGTATATACAGTCAATGAAAGAAAGATTGCAATAATTTTAACTCGATGAATTTCAGAATGCATCTGATAACCAATAAGAGAAGTTAGTGCTTAGTAATTCTTAAAAGATGTTCTCCTATTCTTATTAGATATTAAGTATGTTCTAGAATTTATCGATATGAAAGTGTAGCAATTTTTCTTCTACCAACTGTATTTAAATAATGTTGCCATCTGTTGTTCAGTAGTGTGCATTTGGAAAGAAAACATTGCTGTTTGTTAAACTAGATTCTAAATTACTTAATTATACAATGTTTCATGTTGGCAAGAACCTTTAGAATTTATTTTAATAACACGTTTGGATGTATGAGACCTTTATTAATATTTAAATATGTTTTTAACGTTAATAACGTTTACGACTAATGCAGGTTTAAATCGCTTCGGGAGCAATTAATGATTTTATAGGTTTTGTGACAGACTAGACATAAATTACGAGAGACATCATAAATCGCTTCTGGAGCGAATCAAATTTGCCTCAGTCGAAAACTATAAGCGTTGTTTCATTATGTGGTTTCCTCAATGTCAAAAAATATTATAGTAAATAATTTAGTAAATAGAAATATGATGAATAATAAAATCAGTTGAATAATATTAGAGACTTATTATTGAATATTTTGTGATACTAACACAAAATCTTAATTATTGAAAAGAAAATATATTCTATTTTTAATATAGATTCTTAGGTGGTAAAACAAAATTCGTATATAGTTATATTTAAGGTTACGAAATTAATACGTTCGTCCACACACAATTTGTATGATTAGCATGCAGTATGTAGAAATTTGTGCATGTGTGTGTAAGGATGGTGAGGTTCTACGCGAGGACGATGAAGATTCGGAAGCAAGAGATTGTGAGGGTGGGGATCATAGGGGAGGGGGTATTGGGGATACTTCTTCAGAGTCCGGACGTTCTGTCGATCAACGTGGCTACCTTAGTGAATCTGAAGAACAGGTATTAACATACACAAAATTGCTGTATTGTATTCATTTTCAGTTAAATGTAATGCTTAATATGTGCAATACATGTATACAGAGTGATCATTAAGAACATGCTCATATTTCAAGGAGGAAAGAAATATAAGAAAGAATATAAGAAAATATGAATCGCGTTGAGGCTTCACTTCCGTTCGTAACTTTCATTTTTAAGAGATAGAAGAAGGACGATGAAATTAGGTGAAGAAAGTTACTTAGTCCATAATTTACTATTCATAACAATATCTTGTCATTATTCGTTTTCTCTTTAACGCTTCGGAAAAAGTAATGAATTCACAACAATAAATTGCTGAATGTTTCCTTAAAACTTTCCTGATAAACATGTGATGAGATCAGAATTTATTTTAATGAAAGAATATAGTGCAATAAAAAACAGATATTTAAAATACTTTTTTTATGTAATATGTCACATATAATTTCAAGGATACAGTTTAAATTATCTATATTACTATATATATTTTTTATTCTTTTTATTGTATGAGTTTTGAATTTATACCTCAAAATATGAATATGCAATTAAATATTACTCTGAATTAACATATATATGTGTATGCTTGTTACAGAGTGAATCGCATATGAAATTCACCTCATTTCACACATTATTTTGAACTGGCATATCCATTTTTGATAGAGCTAAAACATTCAAACTACTCAAAAACAAAACATATATATTTCAGTTATTTATAGTTAGCACATCTATAGTTATCATATGTTATGCGTGTAATACATATTATTAATTATATATTTATATATTTAAGCATATTAAAAAATTCTAATTGTTACTGATATCAGATAGAATTCATTCATATTTTTTATTATTTATACGTATTTTTTATTTCCTATATAATATTTAGCAGAGTATAAGAATACTGTAAATAGGATATTAACAGTAAAGACATTTATTTTTGTAGAGATTTATATATTTTTTGTATATTTGCGTTTAATGTATTACCGCTTGATAAACTATTGGCTGCATGTGCCTTTTAGGTTGTTTTATATATTTTAAAAGTTTCTTTTGTATTAAAAATTGGGCATGAGTTTCTATCATAAATTGTACACAATGGAGCAAAAATGTGCTTTACACAATTTCTTAATTAAAATTGTACATTCAAAATTACATTCTCTTCAGATCGTGATATACGTAGCACTAGCTTGTTGTATTAATGAATATACGTATCGTTTCTATTTTTTATCAATTTTTTCTTAGGATATAATATATGAATGTCTTTGCTATATTTACAGACTGATGATAATGTTGACAGCCCAGCTGGCTCAAGGCGTTCGTCAGAACAAGTATGGTCAATGCTTTCTCTCACTATATAATTTATTCATTTATATATTCTAATTTTTTTATTTCATTGTAAAAATTTCAGATTGAAAGTCCCAAACCTGTTCTGCCTATATCTACTGATGAGGGATTACCTCCTGGTTGGGGTATGCAAATAGCACCTAATGGCAGAGTATTTTTTATCGATCACAATGAAAGGGCGACAACCTGGGTAGATCCTCGAACAGGAAGACCAAGTTCTATACCTAATCCTATTGCATCGTCAACTATGTCAAGAAGCGATTTAGATCAGTTAGGACCGCTTCCGGAAGGATGGGAGGAAAGAGTACACACCGACGGACGTATCTTTTTCATTGATCATAGTATGTGTACAATTTTTGAGCAATCAAAGTTTCGTTTGAAACACAACTAAATAATATCTCGATATATCCACTTACTCTTGACTTTTTATTATAGACACAAGAACAACACAATGGGAAGATCCGCGTCTGTCTAATCCTCAAATTGCCGGCCCGGTACGACTATAAATATATTTAATACTACGAATCTTGTCAAGTTTTTTCTAAATGATATTGAAATTTAAATTGGCTCCAATTCTTTTTTAGGCTGTACCATATTCCAGGGATTACAAGCGTAAATATGAATACTTGAAGTCACAACTGAGAAAGCCTGTATGTAGACATTTATTAAATAATTTAAAATCTAATAGTATAAATGATATGATACAAATATGTTTATTATATATCTATTTATATAAAATCTTATTACAGAATAACGTTCCTAATAAATTCGAAATTAAAGTCGGACGGAATAATATCTTGGAAGATTCATACCGTATTATAAGTTCTGTCAACAGAGTTGAAATTCTAAAGACGAAGCTGTGGGTAGAATTTGAGGGTGAGGTAGGTTTAGATTACGGTGGCCTTGCAAGAGAGTGGTTCTTCTTATTGTCGAAGGAAATGTTTAATCCATATTATGGACTTTTTGAGTATTCTGCAACGTAAGTACAAACAATTTTTATATTGTTTATATTAGTATCTACACATACTGGTTGTTTATGATTTGAATAAAAACCAACAAATCTTTCTTATTTTCAGAGACAATTATACTCTACAAATCAATCCTTGCTCTGGTGTATGTAATGAAGAACATTTGAACTACTTTAAATTCATAGGACGTATAGCAGGTATGGCTGTTTACCATGGAAAGCTTTTAGATGGTAAGTCTTAATATTATATTGCAGTAAATTAACGAAATATATCATAAATATTGGGATTAATATATTCAAATTTGAATAACCTTATAATGTAACACATTGTTCCAGCTTTCTTTATCCGACCGTTTTACAAAATGATGTTAGGTAAAGCAATTGATTTGAAAGACATGGAGAGCGTTGATTCTGAATACTACAACTCTCTTTTATGGATTAAAGAGAACGATCCCAGTGAATTAGAACTCACTTTTTGTCTTGACGAAGAAAACTTCGGCCACACTTCCCAAAGAGAGTTAAAGCCAGATGGCGCTAATATTCCTTTGACGGATGAAAATAAGGACGAATATATAAGTTTAGTTATACAGTGGCGGTTTGTATCACGTGTGCAGGAACAAATGAATGCCTTTTTGGAAGGATTCAATGCTCTTATACCACCGACATTGGTGAAAATATTTGACGAACACGAGTTGGAGTTGTTAATGTGTGGTATACAGCATATTGACGTAAAAGACTGGAAGCAAAATACTTTATACAAAGGGGACTATCACGCAAACCATCTTGTTGTACAATGGTTCTGGAGAGTTGTCTTGTCATTTAGTAATGAAATGCGTTCTAGATTATTGCAGTTTGTGACTGGTACATCACGTGTTCCAATGAACGGATTTAAAGAACTTTATGGTAGCAATGGACCACAATTGTTCACAATTGAAAAGTGGGGTACACCGGAGAATTATCCAAGAGCTCATACTTGGTGAGTTTGCGATTTATTAAAATTATTATTTTATATTCTAATAATTAGAATAGTGTCTTTTCTAAAGTTGTAAAAGCTTTATTCTAATTTATGTTTATTTTATATTAAATATATCAAAGAAATATCGTGATTATTTTTCTAGTTTTGCTTAATGATTAAAAATGTTTTTGTATATAAATTTAGTATACAATGATATATGAATTATTGTTTCAGTTTTAATCGTATTGACCTTCCTCCATATACAAGTTATCAACAACTCAGGGATAAGCTAGTTAAAGCAATTGAAGGTTCTCAAGGTTTCGCTGGAGTCGACTAGCACGAAATACCTTTATTCATGATGATATCTGTAATATAATGTATATACTATATATACATACTTATAGGTACACACAGAAAAGTACACTGTCTTAAAATGATTATCTATTTAACAATTTCCTGCACTTTAATGATTTAGTTGTCTCTTAATTACAAGCAACAACATTGAGACAATTTGAGAAAAAGATATGTTTAAAAGTTGGTATTATTGCTTAGCTTTCTCGAATAACTAACAAATCTTTCAGCATGTTACCGTTTTGGAAATATATATTGTATTCAGTGACAAATATTTGAATAATCTGAAGTAAAATCTATAATCAGATATTAACCAAACACTTTTAAAGATTTGCCATATTTTTACAACCACACTTTCGGCTTTTTGGGAGAAGTAATTTGTCTGGTATAACAAGGGAATAATACTTTATAATATTAAGATGTAAATAATTTGTATTATGATATTGATTTATTAAACAATTGTTCCCATTTGTTAATATATATATATATAAATATATATATATATATATAAATATATATATATATATATATACACACATATATATATATATATATATATATATATATATATATATATATATACACATATATATACATATACTATAGAATATAAAAATATGATATATAAATCGTTGAATTACCTGTGTATGATACTAATGTTTCAAAATTATGTAATCATAAAAACAAAAAACAAAAAATTCAGTATAGCTTTATCGAACTTACATATATCGAGGATATTGTTTACAATTTAGAATATTTTTTACTATTTCTTTGTGGTATTCCAAATTCTCTCTCACTCTACTTCTCTCTATGTTAGCTTTAACAGCATATAAATTTTTAACCACTCTTTTTCACTGTTTAATACTTATGCAAAGTTGTTTATGCCTTTTGTTAAAGCAATCTACACACATAAAGGTAAAACACTTGCCATATACATCTATTTTACACACATACTTATATAAACCGACTTATCTTCATTTATGTTGTTCCTTTTATAATTTTTTTATGATTACTGAGTGATAGAAAATGACATCGAATAGAAATTGTATTATTCGAGAATGTACATGCCTATGATGTACAGAAGAATAAAACAATTGTTTATTGATTATGTTATTAGAAGAAAAGGCAAGAGAAGATAGAACCCAAAGTTAGTAAATCTGTTTTTATTTTATATTAAGCAATCTATATTTCAATTTTGTGTTAAGTAATATAAGTTAGAGAATAAATCATTCTAAAAAAAATAAAAAAAAAAGAATTCATACTTTATCATATTAATATATAAAATAAACCAGGCAAGATTTTAAGGACTAGTAAATTTATTTGTAGGGATAAACGAAATATTGACCAACTAACAACTCGAATTAACAGTTACAGCTTATATCATTTGTCATATTCTCTCCTTGCTTGTTCTTCTAATTTAATAATAGTTTAAAAAGTCCAATGAGCTCAGGTAGTCCATTGTATACAGTATATTAAATGAAAGAAAAGATTGATTAAAATCAATTAAAATTATTTCCCTGAGAATATAATCTCTTTTGTATATTCTGTCGATACTTTAATATAACATCCAATAGTCTCGAAAATAATACAGAAAATAACAAGTAATACATTGCTCCTTGTTTATAATTGAAGATGACAAAACCGATGTCAGATACGAATGTCTATCTTATATTGTAACATATATTCGCAAAATTAACATGCATTCTAAATGCAAACGGCGTTGATATAACATTCCATCCTATTTGTACAGCTTATTTTATTGTAAACAAATACGTCCCGTTAGATAATAAATAATATTGTCATGGCAGAAATTTTGTGGCCTTAAATTCCGGTTGAAATTTTTTATTTTAATAAATCTCTCGTTTGTAAATTTCACATTTCTATGATAGTAAGATGCGCTAATTATATTTGCCGATAAGTGAATGTCCTTTCGTACTTCTTCATCTTCATATTAGATTTGCAGGGTGATGTGTATAAGCTTACATTTAATACGTTAGTAATTCTTAGCTCGAAGGCGAACTAAATTCGGTGCAATCTAATATGCTATATGAAGTGTAAAAAAAACGCTCTTTATTGGAGCAAAACACAGGCCATCCCAGTGCGATTCGGACTTTATAAATTAAGTTAAAATGGATGCACTGAATATAAGAGAAAATTTGTTATTGTGCGTGTACAATGCAGTGTTCTCTAAATCTGCCCGTTCTTTATGTTAATGACGACTGAGTAAATAATGTTCTTTTATTCGTAAATAATGTTCTTTTATTCGTGTATGTTCTTTTTTTATCGTGTAGTGCGATTCAATTTTAGACGTTTGTTTCAAAGTTGTTTGTATCAATCTCAGTTTATGTATATGAGATAATAATTTTTCAGTAGTATATATATACATATATATATATTTTTTTTTTTTTTTTTTTTTTTA